CCTTCCAGGGCCCTGGCTGCTGCCGGCTAAGGTGCCCGTCCCCTGAGGCGTGCCTCTGCTTGGGCCTTCTGGCCTGCAGACAGAGGGTGGTCGAATCCTCCTCAGAGTCACAGTCCTGGGCCGACGCTGCAGCCGCCAGCACCTGCCCACAGGCCCCTGATGATCCAGCACCCACAGAGCTGCCAGCCCCTGAGGCCCGGCCTTCCCCAGAGGCCTCTCCCATGCCAGGAGCCATCTTTGGTCCCAGTTTGTAGAGAGAGGAGCCCGGCACTGAGGCCTCCAGGGTGTGGATCTGTGCATTAGGTGGTGGGTCCACACCTTCTTCGATGCTAAGTCTGCGGCGCTCGCGCAGTCGTTCCTCCTCGTCCTCAGGAGAGGGGTGAGCCGGGTCAAAGGCATCCAGCAGGGCAGTGGAGGAATGCGGGCTGACCGGTGCTGTGTGTTGCTTGATCAAGTGCCACTTGTGTGCAAGGTCTGAGCCTGGTGGGAAGGGGCAGGTCTCCAGCATGAGCTCTGTCAGGTGAATCTTCCGTTTGGAGGTGACGGGGTTCTTAGAAGAGCGGGAGCATCTGCGAGCGGGAAGGGGTAAGCACAGCCCTACTGTATCACTCAGCCGCTGTCGCAAAGAGCGAGCGTTCAGACTGCGTCCTCCAGATACGGAGTCGCTCATCTCCTGGATGGAGCCGACTCCATACCGCCTGTCCCTGCGGTTACCACTCCCCCGTATGCGCCCAGACCGCCTATCAGCCTCCAGGGAGCTCTGGGTTTTGGTGGAACATGAGTGTTTTTTCTTGCCCCCCCATGGAGCGTGACGGGAGTAGGAGTCTCTCCGGGCCAGGGGCACACCCCCTGATCCCCCCCGCACATCCTCAGTGTCCTTGTCGATGGTGATCTCTACTATCTGAGGGATGTCGGACACACAGTTATGATGATGGCGGCGTCCTGTTGTCACCATTGGCACCGGCAGGAGGCTGCGTGATGGGCTGGAGGCTCCTGATGCCTGAGCCTCACCTGAGCTGCCTCCTGGGCCAAGATCCAACACACAGTGGACGGCATCGGCCTCAACCCTGCTTTCACTGGGTCCTGAACTGTTGTTGTGAAACAGTGTCTGGCATTTGCTCTTCAGGTTGCTCCACATGTTGCCCACTTTCTTCATCAATAGGAGCCCCTGGGACCTGGAGACAACAGGAGACAAAACGGATTGAATCACAGGTGGAGAAATCTCGCAACGGCAACGGCGCCTACATTTAACACTGAGGTACCAGCTACATAAAGAATGTCCTACATTTAAATTCCCCAGACTACTGTGTATCTAGTAATTAGACATGGTGAGAGTATAACGGGGCCAACGTGTCTGAGAGGTGGGTGAGCTTGAGTAGTTGGAACAGCAGAGTTAGGAGTTGCCAGGCAGACGTGCAGGGACACAAGGCCACAGCTATAAATGAACCCAGGATCTGCTCACAGCTGATCTGCTGGTATGTACTGTATTACAGAGCCAGTCTAGACCTGACCAAAAACTTTCCCTGTAACAGCAGCAGACAGGGCACATGTACATGCACATACACACTCACATATGGCGTTGATTTATCACTCTACTAGAAATCTGACAGGGATTTGGAAGTTGTAGCACTAAACTGCGTTCGGATGATGCAAACTTTACACTGAGCAACGTCACCGCAGGTAGGTGGCCTGCCAAACACAAAACCTCGAAGGACTCCATAATGCAGTATTTCCTTCCCTGTTTCAGACACTGTTTCTGGACTTCATGGCTGTATTAGGGTACAAATTTTAGTGTTGCCGGTAAATCCAAATCACTGAATCCAAGCACTGAAGCCAAAATATAAAACGTCCAGAACCAAAAGGCTTTTGCAACTCCTTGTTCCTAAAAGTGAATTACAACCCTGTGTGTGCACATTAATTACTTCTTGTTTCTTTCTGAAGGAAACTCAAGTATACTGTGACTGCTACCATTACCCAACACTGGCTTTATCCATGAGGAAGCTGCAAGCAGCACATCATACAGTGCTTCTAGGAGCCATTACTGAAAATGTAAATCTCTAACCCTGTCAGCATTAATTGCATGTGCCATTTAAAAAGCTACAGGCACACAACAAAGTCTCCATCACTCCCTCCCCCCCTCCCTCCCTCCCCTTTTCTTTTCCGTCTGCTTCTGGGCTAAAAGCTGCTATCCAGGCATCATGTCGACCTGCGCGCAGAGTGAAGTTTGCCTCTTAACATTGATAAAGACGACATGGATTTGCACAGTCAGCTGTGATAGACAAGGCCTCTGTTATGCACAGGAAACCGGACTGGTCTTCAGCACATGACTGATTAAGTTGATTTGCTGAGTGCAGATCCAAGGCCATCACTAACAAACTCATGACGTCAGCGTCATCCCCCCTTATTGACTTGCTTTGTACTCACAAAAGATGACAACGTCTCTCCACTTTACAGTCATTAGATGTGATACAAAAACAGCCTTTGTTAAAGTTGTTGCTATGAAAGAGTATTTTATTCACACAGCTAAGCTACATCACCTAATGTGACACAACTCGGTTGCTGTGGACGGCCCAAAAAAGCCCGAGTTAGTGCTGTGTATTGTCCGCTCTGTTGGATGTCTTCCTTTCCTTCTCTCGGGGGTCCTGCCAGTGCAAAGATCCACACCCACTGACAACATCCTCCCGATGTGATCGCCACTGGCTTGAGACGGAGCTCCAATGATAAACTAGATATGATTTCTAACAAACAACATGCAAAGCAAAGCACCCACATGCTTTTCACCAAGTGCCAACACAGTGTTAATAATTTCCCTGGTGGATTTCATTGTAGTAACACCTCTCTGCTGCGATTCAGAGTTAATTACAATCACTGAAATGATTGCTTCAAAGCTGTGTTTAAAACTCCTCTGTTATAAACAATGAAGCCTATGTTAACACACACAGACACACTAATCCTCAGCTAGTTGTGCAGTGCTGCCAGCTGTGGCCAGGAGTTATTTTGCAACTAGATTTGATTACAAAATTATCTTTTTTTTTTCATGCATCTGAATTTGATTTTCATACTTTCTCCTACAATATGGCCACATTCATGAGAGCACGATCACTAATGTCAAGCATGAAAAATGACATTTAGAGTATAAGTAAATTCTTCTGCCATTTTAGAGCGCGCGTTGCATTTTACTGCGTTGCGATGACAGTCTGTTGAATATAATCTCCGAGGTCTGCAACATTTGGCATAAACAGTGTTGTGGTGTGCTGTTACAGAATTTAGTAGGGCTGCACAATTAATCTAAATATTATCAAAAATGACAATACGGCCAAGTGTAATATGCACTTTTTGTGCAAAAGGTAAAATGTGTGAGAAGAGATGCATAATAAAAAGTACCGTCGCTCTGGAGAGAAGCCATTGCCTACAAATCTTGTTCAAATTCAAATCATGCTATTTTTGTGACATGCAATTACATAATTTAATTTACAATTGAAATCCCAAAACACAACGTAAAAACTTGAAGGACATAATGCTGTCACGCAAGATTGATTTTCCTTTTCTGCGTTTTTTAAAATGTGATCATTATCAACTCATCGGTGCCGCACTGAAAAACGACGATCACCTTAAAAACCAACGGCGTTCCTCAATTCCTTCCTTCCAATTATTTTACATGCAAGTATGTGAGTATATCTACGCTGTGGAATGTAAACAGCTGGACACTGTGACCTCTAGGTGACTAAAAGTTGTGCGATACTGAGCGATAGTAAAAGCAGCAGCCACTGTGAACTGGTTGGATACAGTGCTGCAGGTAAGAGGAGCTGACACCAATTTAGGTGAACTCAAACCGACAACACGTCATCAAGGTAAGCAACACCTTTTATTGTGCCATTCCTGTTGTATGGAAAACCAGTGGCTTTGTGTCCAGAGCACGGGCTCTGTTCACAGGTTCTCACGTTATGACGAGTATCCACACTGCATGGAACTGCCGCTGTCCCAGAGACGCACAAATAATGGTGTGCCATATTAACTACAGCTGCAACTATCAGCCCATTAATCCATCAGTCACTCAAAAGGAATTTAATCGCCAACTGTCCTGATAATGGAAAAAAATGTGAATGTGAGAATTTGCTGTTTTCATTATAGTGAACTGAATGTTTTGTGGTTTTGGACTGTGGTCACACACACACACACAGCCCCGTTCACACCCTGCTCTCCTCCCTCCAAGATGAACTGGAATTGTGAGGCCAACGTTATATCAGCTTCATCTTGAGAGGCTGGACTTTCCATCCGGGTTGGTGTGTTTTATCCCAAACCTTGCTAATCGCTTCAAAACTACAAACAAACAAACGAAAAGTTCCAGTGACCACGACACCTTAAAGGGAGCAAGAGCCGCAAAACGTTGTGAATTGTGCCCAAGTATGATTAAAACACGCCTATACTGTGTAAGTGCTGCCACAGTTTAACAATAAACCCATTACACATTACGCAATAATGCAGCAGGAAAAAACATAATAACTATGCTGGATCAGACTCGAATAACACACAAAATAAAACAGACATTTGTTAGTCTGTTTATTTTAAAGTCCACTTTGATACATTAGATGTCAACTGATAATAAAAGACTAACCTGACAATCAGAGACAAAATGCTGCGAGTTGTACCATTAAAAAAAGCCTAATTAAAATTACTTCAAATGTAAAACCTCTGACAACCTCATTAAACTCTTTAAACTATCAAAACCCGACAATGATAACAGTACTGATCTGATACTTTGCAGCAAACAACTAAAAACCATATAGTGACAAATCTACATTAGAATGAAGTTTAAATCTTATTTTAATCCCTTATGCAACATTATAACTTTACATCCACTGCTGCAGATTTCTGCCTCGAATTAACTCAGCTGATTCAACATTGATTATCTAAACTACAGTCTAACAGTCTGATACAATCAACTGTGTCTGCGGCCATTGATAACAATGACCACACCAACAGTGCAATCCAGTCCATAAACCCTGAAACAGAACTAGGCTACTCCTGCTCTCCGGCAGCCCAACACACCCATTCTCCAGGGATCATGCTGATCTAAGAGAGGGCTGGAGAGAGAAAGACAAGATTAAGGGAGGACGCCTTCTCTGCTCAGACCAGAGTTAATGAGATATCTGCAGCGTCTTTCATTCTGAAAGATATGTGGGATGGCAGAGAGCCACACAGGGTCTGTAAATGACTGATAAATCACCACCGGTTCTTCCTATCTTTTAAAATCTCGACAAATATTGAACCTTTGACAGAAATGTTGATATGGCAAATTATTAAATCGTATATATGTAGGCCCACAAACAGAGTGCGGGTTGCGTTTCTGGCTGAGAATAAACATTTCAAATAGACGCAGAATATGCACATTAAAACATATTCCTGCAACTCACTGTTTGCATTGAGATAAAAAACTAACTGAGTCAAATCTGTCTTCCTGTAGCGAGCAGTAATAGTTGCTGTTCATTGAAGGCCAGAATAATGTGTCAAAATCCTGTAACTATGCTACACATGCTCTATATTTTAATGTTAGACCTTTGTAAGATGTGTATAACTCAGGTATATACTTTATAAGTCCCAGGTCGGATAAATATCCTTTCTCTGCCTTTTATTTTACACAAATTGTACCTTGGGATTTGATAAAATACAAGCCTCATAAATATCAAACGATAAGCAATATTAGCAATATAATGATTATTCTGCCCTTGAGTAGCTTTGTTAGGAGTTTCTCATTAATGAATCAATAAACATTAAAGTCAGACAGAAAAATAAGTAACTTCTGTCAAAGTTAACTAGAAGTAAATATATGAACTCTCATTTTAAGACAAACGCTCTTTAGAGTTAATGTTACGTTAACGTTTAGAGTACGTGGTCACTGTTCGCCAGGTGAAGTTGAATTAAACTCTGTAATCCCAGATTTACACAATCTAAATGACCACTCGAAATGAATCCAAATAATCCCAGGAGACGGAGACGGGGAATATCTCGCTGTCTAATATGTGTTAACGTGCTACAACCTGAGGGGACAGTGAGTGACCGACACACACACACACACACACACACATTCAAAAAAAAACTACAAGACGACTTCTCGTTCTTTATATAATCAAACGATTAGCAACTCAATATCTGCATTGAGTCCCAGCAGTGCATAAACACAGTGTCTGTGTAATAATTATTCTGCCCCTGTATCGCTTTGTTAGCAGTTTGTCCTCATTAATTAATCAATAAACATTAAAGTCAGACAGAAAAATAAGTAACATTTCTCAACACATACCGTTACTTGTATTTTAAGCCTCTTTAAATGGTATAAATGTTAACTACATTAACTTCTACCTATGTTTAACTACAAGTCTACCTTTTAAAATGTGTTTCTACTTTAAGTTATGATTTGTTTCTCGTGAACCTGTACAGACACACACTTTACACTTGCTTTGGTTTCCCACTGTACCACGCAGTCTTACTGTTTGTCATGTTTACTTTCCACCAAACGTATTATTAGTATGTATTATGTATTTGGGAGGATGCAGCATTAAAGCACAATGATAACTAACATGATCAAGTCTTTCCATGGGCCCTGTCAATGTGTCAAAACCCAGTTTCACCATTTCACAAACCTAAATTAAATCATTTTGATCCACTTTATATAAAATACACACATATAAACATATATTACACACTTGCTTTGGTTAAATAAACCTATGTGTGCCATGCCAACAAAGCCCCTTTTTATTACACATATAAATAACATTATAGCTTCTTTAAAACAGAGATTAGAGGCTCTTCTTTCAACCCTAACACCCACAGACACACAACTATCCAGCTATAACGTTATTACAGCTGCTGTATAGAAATGGTTGCAAGGCCTTCAGATTTATGGAGGCCACACGTTAACCACACACCGATAAACAGCCAACTAACACTCACATTCACCCAGCTGTTGTGACTTTAGTTCATATACACACACATATAACGTTATTATTCACGTTATATGTGTGTGTTGCTGCACGAATAGCTGGATTACACGCTGCTCCGCTAACTAGCTGCTAGCGGGGGTTAGCTTGGGGAAAAAATCCGAGTTAAAAAACAAAAACAAAATAAACAAAGTGGCGTTGCTTCAGGACGCCGATCACACACACACGCATCCACAAAGGTACAGCTTGTGTCTCCGCTTCGTGTCTTACCCGTGTGCCCTTTTTTTCCGCGTGTGTGTGAAAGCCTCCTCTTATTCAAAAGCTCTCTTTGTCTGCAAAAAAATGGCTATTAAGAGAAGTCAGGCGTTCATCCCCCTGGTGGACCGCGGTGTCGGCTGGAAGCGAGAGTCGGTCACTGGACGGCAACATCCCGATGGTTTAGAGAAAACAACAGTTCAATAGTTAAATGGTTTTAAAAAAATAAAAATAAAAATGAAATAAAAGAGGCTAAATCATTGTTTTAAGTGCCGCGTTCTTCATCGTGGTGGGGGTCTTCGTCGCCGCCGCCGCTAGCAGCCAATATGACGGCGGGTCGCTGCAGACGGAGAGCCGGAGAGGAGGACGGCTGAGTGACAGCGGCTCCGGCCAATCAGAGACGGACAGGGAGGGGAAGGGGGCGGGGCCCGGGAGGACAGGGCATTTCCGACACAGCACGCGGATGGGGAATGTACCCGGCGCGTGATGGGCGTCTCGTGTCGCCAATGGATAAGGAGGAGGAGGAGGATGAGGATGAGGAGGAGGTAGAGGAGGAGGAG